GGCCGACGTCATACTTTTTCGAGCGAATCGCTAGCGAATCGAGCGAGTCGAGCGAATCGCCAGCGATTCGAACTGGGTACCAGCGAATCGAACTAGGTACCAGCGAATCTTGCATAAAGCTTGAAACTAGGGTGTTAGGCTAGGTTTTGAGTGAGTGTGTGGTTGCCGCCGGACAAAGAGCCTTTGGTGAGGCCACACAACCTCCGAATTTCGCAATCTCGCGTTTTACTCCCCTATTTCGTCCACTATAGGTACTCGTTGATTGGTTTACAAGGAGTAATTAAATTATTCGATCATTTCTATTACCTTGAACCTTACTTTCAGGGCGCCCCTGCAGATTCTTCGCAGTAGTTTTCGATGCGGGATCAATGGGTAGAAGACTGCATCGATACAAATACTTTCATATTACGGACCGTAAATGGAATTTTTTCCAAAGTTGAAGAAGAGATTTTAATTTTAATTCAATTACTCCTTGTAAACCAATCAACGAGTACCTATCGCGGGCGAAATAGGGGAGTAAAACGCGAGATTGCGAAATTCGGAGGTTGTGTGGCCTCACCAAAGGCTCTTTGTCCGGCGGCAACCACACTCTCACTCCTAGCCTAACACCCTAGTTTCAAGCTTTATGCAAGATTCGCTGGTACCTAGTTCGATTCGCTGGTACCCAGTTCGAATCGCTGGTGCATCGTTCGATTCGCTGGCGCATTCGTTCGATTCGCTGGCGATTCGCTAGCGATTCGCTCGATTCGCTAGCGGTTCGCTCGATTCGCTAGCGATTCGCTCGATTCGCTAAGTATGACGTCGGCCTTACTGACTGTTGATAAACACACAGATCAAGTAATGGCCATATTTTCGAAGCCGGGCAAAACACTAGGATTTTGAATAAGGATTGCATCTCAGCACATAAGCTCACCTATCCTGAAAGCTAGTAAACTCATTCACTAATTGCTTCCTTTAGCTACAACTCCAATCTATCAAAACCAAACCTTCCTAAGCTTTTTTAGATCACCGCCTACGACACTCCTATCTATTTGAAAATGGTCACATCATTACCCTTTGGCTGGTAATACTGACTTTATTGCTAGAACGCTTCCGACGTTCAAAGCAAGAGTGCTAAGACAGAAGAGCGCCGTAAAGATAGGAAAGTCTGGAGCTTCTTCTCACATGCTCTGCGACCGGATCAGCTCCAAGCAGCTTCACAGCAGCTCCAATCTGTCATCGTCATGTTCCTGCTGGCTTCCACGGCTCCTTCTTGTCCAACCAGCATACTCACCAGTAGCGTAGACTGGATACAATGCTCTAATAACAAATCAACAAGCGGCGCTAGCTTAGGTAAAACAATTGGAAGTTCTGAAGAGCAAATGCCCAACTTTATCCGAATTCGATCCTTCTGACTGTTGGCAGAATAAAAAACAAAAAAAGAAAAAAAAAAAATACGAGAAGTGACTTCGCGCTAGAATAGCAAATCCGATTACCAGGGTTGGTGGTGGGGGATAAATGTCAACAACTTGAAGACGACGCCTCTGAACTGAAAGCGAAGTAAGACAAAGCCTCTTTGTGGAAACGAGATAGCCCCGATCCGTTGGTGAATTCAAAGGCACACCCAGACAAAAGTTGTACGAATCCCTCCTTTCGACTGTAGAATAGGCCCCTAGAGGACAATCACAGATGTTGCATTCCAGTGCACGGAAATCATTCGACAAAAGCAACAGGGCTTTGCAAAGTGAGCTGCAACAGCTGCAATTTTTTATCAAGCAGTTGTCCTCTCTATGTGGCGCTCTTCGTCTCATTCCTTCACTCAGCCTTTAGTCGCCATGGCATTGAGAGACTAAAGGCGGAGTGGAGGAATGAGACGAAGATATTGTGAGAGGGTAAGCCTTAACCTGAACGCACTCGACGGCTTCTTCTCCTTTTTCTTTACTGCCTGCCCATTTCGCATCAATACAGTCGTATTCGTGAACGAGAACCGCACTAGTTTGATCCTGCGGCATACCTTCAGACTACTTTGACAGCGCTTTTTCATTCAAATTCGGACGAGATTTATAAGCAGTGTTTTGTCCTAAACAATTATACTAGGCCGATGTCGCTCACGCCTATCACACCTTGTTGGGCCATGGAGTTAAAAAGGGCAACATCATCGTGATGATGTACGACGACATTGCCAATCACACACAAGTATGTTTTGTTACTCCGCTTACTTCTTTTTTATTATATGAAGAAACGAGGAGGCCGCAGGAGATCGTATAACACGGAGCTCCTTTGAATCGAATTTTACCATCAAGTGTAGTCGAAAGTGTTTTACCTTCAGGATGAATATCCCGTAGAATTCTCAGAGCGCGTAGCAGTTTTTTAGTTGCCATTGGTTGACCACGCAACTCATTGCTAAGCATGCTATGGGTTCATATTTGATCTTCTTAACGAGTCTAAATGGGAGATGAGTTCATTTCACAGCTCAGAATTTCAGCGACGAGCAGTTCTAGCCAATTCTTTGTACTAGGTTTTTGATTAAAGCCATGGGTTGGACTAGGCCTCACTGAAGAAGTTCCTCCCGCGGATAGAGGTGCTGGATTCACCACTTCAGTGGTCGCGGAACTTCTGCGCAGGGTCAACTAAATCTCCGTCTGTCCGTTGAACAAAGTCCAACGAGGGGGGTCGTATTCGGCCGACGAAAAGGTGGGGAGTCGTATTTGCAAGGTCGGAGGATATGTACCCCCTCCCGCTCAACGGCTATTTTGGAGGAAATGTGGGTGGAGTTGGGCTGTGTCAACTGGTCTCAGAATTCAAAGACCTCCTGAGTCTCATGGTGGTGGAGCGGGGTCGTGAAAAATTTCCAAAAAGTACCAACGGTAGGGTTGACCCTGGGGGCAGGGTCGTATCGAGGCCCTCCAGAAGGGGGGGGGTCGTAAAATTTTTGAAATTTGTCCAACGTGACGGTTGACCCTGCTTCCGCGCCTCTAAACGCGCCTTGAGACGCGAGGCGCTCAGATCTTGAATCTTCTGACACCCAGAAAAATCTGTGCCCGCCCACCACTCCATATCTTATCTGTGCCGTAATAGATGCTATGCCCTCCCGACTCGGAGTTTTCCCCATCTCCGCGCCTTACACTCAAATTTTGTGATTGAGGACGAGGTTATTGTTTTCGACGAGAAAAATTTTGAGCGGCGCATCTTCCAGGAAGGCTTTCTCTGCATGCGCCGTTGATATTTCTAGCTGATTGAAGTGCAACCTGTGAACTGCAAACTTATCAACTTCGATGACTGATATCTTCTCTAAGCTTACAGAAGATATCAGTCATCAATATATCATGCCGAGGTTCTTGCAAAGCCGTACATTTCGACTTATCAACTTCATTCTTCAGAAACCCATATAAGGGAAAACTCTTCAATTCACCCAACGGCACCGACGTCTATGAAGGCTTGGAGATTGACTACAGAGTGAGTAAACGAAATCATTTCTTTATTGTAGCTAATAGTTTAATGACAGATCACCAATCGTATTTGAACAGGGCGAATCGGTCACTCCAGATAATTTCCTAGCCGTGCTCACTGGAAATGCCAGCGCTGTGGTGGGCGGAAACGGCCGTGTCATCAAAAGGCAAGCAACGTTCAAGTAGCCGATTCTCTGCATTGTTCAAAAGGTTCTTTTTCCAGTACTTCTAAAGATCGAATCTTCGTCTACTTCACCGATCATGGCGGTGAGGGTCTCATCGCGTTCCCAGAAGACATTGTAAGTGTCCAGCTTCTTTATTTAAAGTTCAGTCAGCTACGATTAGACCAGCTTAGGTGAAGAAAGTTCTGTAGGAGGATTCCACGATAGGTCGAGTCGAAGAAAGAAAAATCCTAGTCGTTTGTGGCATCCGACCCGACATAAGCAAACCAGCCCTTTTGGCGCTTCGGCTGAGGACCGTATGCTGAATGTTGGGGACGGGGATGGAGTCCCCGACGGTGGACGAACCACTTCAAAGGATACAGAAAATCAAACTCGTCCTTAAAACCGTCGCAATTTTTGCTACTCAGAACTAGCCTTAAGAGAGGACGGGTCCGTCCCTTCTCCAAGGCTTAGTCCTGGGGAGCAAACCAGCCTTCTGGCGGAGCTGCTGGACCAGCTGCACCACTTGCGTCAGTACTCTCCTATCGTACCAACCGAGTTGAAGTAAACCGTCGACCGTTGGGGACCCCATCCCCTCCCCAACATTCAGCATACGGTCCCAGCCGAAACGCCAAAAGGGCTGGTTTGCTTACCTCGGCGGAACCTCCCCTCCCAAAGGTGCGGCACAGCAAGGAATTCGCTGCAAAGGATATGCCGCCAGCGATCTAGCATAGCCGTCCCCGCGCTGCTATCGCCACTGCCCGCTTATGCCCTCACCGTCCGGCTCTAGCCGCCTAGCAGAGAGAGCGTTAACGATGATGAAGCTTAGCACCGATGAGAAACACCTCCTGAATAATCAGGCAAAAAAAGCATCCAATTTCTTGGGTTTCAGGAGGCCTTCTTTTTTTATCCCTCGTAATAACTTCCACCTTACCTGACTGCTAACGTGAGCTCTCTTTCATTGCAAACTCTGCCTATTAGGTGCACTATTTTCGAAGCAGGGCGGAAGTGGTGCAGTGGCAAGTGGCACGCTTACCACGCGAGCGGTCCGGGGATCAAATCCTGGGTCGTGAGTCGCCCGGGCCAACCAAGCCTTCCATCCCTCCGGGGTCGGTTGTACTTTGTCTGGGAATTAAAAAAAAAAAAAAAAAAAAAAAAAAAAAAAAAAAAAAAAAAAAAAAAAAAAAAAAAAAAAAAAAAAAAAAAAAAAAAAAAAAAAAAAAATTGTACATGCGCCGCTCGTATAACTTCGTATA